TTTGTCTTCTTGACATTGAGCCTCAATCCATATTGGAGGCTGCAGTCCTTGACCCTCTGCAGCAGGTGCTTCAGATCCTCTTCAGTTTCAGCAAATAGGGTTGTGTCATCTGCATAACGCAGATTGTTGATAAATCATCCCCCAATCTTGACCCCACATTTCTCCTCATAGAGCCCAACCTCCCAGATAATCTGTTTTGCGTATAGGTTGAAAAGGTGTGGAGATAGGATGATGCATCCCTGGCATACGCCCTTCCCAATTTTGAACCATGCCATGTTCCCTTGCTCTGTTCTGACGACTGCCTCCTGGTCCAAGTATAGGTTTCACATTAGAATGATCAAGTGTTCTGGGTTTCCCATTCTTAGACTTTTAGAACAATAACCCAGAGCACAGAGTTTCCATATTCTGTCCTATACCCTCAAGCTGAACCATACGTAGTTTCTCCTATTTCTATCATTTGAAAATGTCCTCTGGTGTATTTGTTTTAATTGATGAACCAATGTTAATACATTATTGTTAACTAAAATTCACAGTCTCCATTAGTGTTCTACAGCCCTGTGGTAGTGGTTGTTAGGTGCCATCAAGTTGAGTATGACTCATAATGACCCTGTGGTCAGCCAACCTGAAACCTGCCCTATTCTATGCCATCCTCACCATCTCTGAAACACTCATGCCCATTGCTGACATCATCATGTCAAGCCATCTCATTGAGGGTCTTCCTCTCCTTCATTGACCCCCCCCTATCTATCCAAGCATGATGTCACTCTCCAGTGAATAGCTTCAACTAGTACATGTCATAAGTATGAAATGCACCATCTCCAAGACGTATCTGTTTGTTCTCTTGGCAGTCCATAGGATTATTCTTTTCTAGCACTACAACTCAAAGGCATCAATTATTCTTCTGTCATCCTTATTCATGTCCATCTCTCTGATGTGTAGCAGGTGATTGAGAAGATCATGGCCTGAATTAGGCACACCTACCTTAGTCTTCAGACTAACACCACTGCACTTCAGCTTCAATTTTGGAGAGGTCTCTGACAGTGGACTTGCCCAGTACAGTATGTCTCCTGATTTCCTGACAGCTGGTAATAAGAGTCTTGATTGTTGATCCAAGGAAGATGAAATTGTTGACAGCTTCAGTCCTTTCTCCATCTGTCAGCTCCTGTGATAAGGACCTTTGTAGGTTTTGAGAAATGCATAATGCCATGCACCCACCACTGCAGTGTCATTCAGAATATATTAACTGGCCTGAAAAAAAAAAGTGTAGTATAAAAACACTCAAAAAATTTTCTTGGCCCAGACAACTTCACCAGGTGAATCCTACCAAATATTCAGGTAAGTGCTGACATCTGTTCTAAAGGCACACATTGGACATGGGTTTTCCAATGGAAAATATGGTTGCAGAAATGAGCGGAGAAAGGTAGAACTTTGTCCCTGGACAGTTTTATTAGTGCATCTTCTAAATACCTAAGTGGATCTCCTAAATAGGGATTTACTGGTGGACAGATTGTCATGGTGTGTTCTCTGGTATATTTTGGAGACAGTGGAAGTTAGAAACTGAGATCTTGAATTTCTGAATTCTTACCAATGAGAGGAGGAACTGTAACAGAGAGAAAGGAGACAATAAGAAAAAGCTGAAGGTTGAAGGTTGTACTTCCCTAAAAAATTTATTACAGAATGTAGTACAGGCATCTACCACTCACTTAGAAGGAACAAATGAACAGTCTCTTCTTGTGCAGTTTACAGTCTCAGAAATGCATGAGAAGTTACTTATGAGTAGGTTCCAACTTTATAGCAATGAAAAGGTTTTTTGAGTGCAGGCAAAACCACCAAATATTGGGAGAAACTTTTAAAAAAATCAGCCTTTTAAAAAAACCCAGATATCCCAACAACAACAGCAAAATCATAAAAACACAAAAGAGGACTGATGTCTTATCCAAATGAATATGAGAGGTCACTGTGCTTCTTAGGAAGACCAAATAAATTGGAAAGATATGATACAGCAACTTTAAACACAAAGACTTAAGGAAGAACAGAAAGAGAGTTAAAATAAGAGGGAAAAATGTGAGAACAAAATGAATGTCTAAAAAAATTAAAGGTCATTAATGAAAATGAGAACATTAGGAACTTGTTCTGTGACATCGAGTTGCTTGCAACTCATAGCAACCCTGTGTACAACAGCTTTGAACCTTGCTCTGTGTTGAACCAATCTTATTGTCTCTGACACATGTACCCCCATCACCCCAGTCACTGAGTCAATCCATTCCATCTCAGTTAGGAATTTCCCAACAGATTAAATTAAAATAGGATGTACCAGTCCTTGAAGAGAGACATTATGCTTGGAAAGGTGGAGGCACAGCACAAGAGAAGAAGACTCTGGATTATTTTCTATTCATTCTTTTCCCGTTCTTTCCTCAATTCCCCCATGTTTGCCCTACTTTGTAACAGGTTATAACAATATTTATCCTTTCAAGACTGAGATATTTCATTCTGTATAAGGTCCTTTAGGCTCCCCCATGTTGTGTGATGTTTTATGAGTTCATTTTTTCAGTGATGCATAGTATTCCATTGTGTGAATGTGCCATAGTTTTTCTATCCATTCATTGGTTGTTGGGCACTTGGGTTGCATCTTTTTCTTTGCTCTTGTGAAGAATGCAGCAATAAACATGCATGTGCATGTTCGAGTCGTGGCTCTGTTTTCTTCAGGATATATTCCCCGTGGTGGAAGTGCTGAGTCAAATGGTATTTCCATTTCTAACTTTTTGAGAAAGCATCAAACTGCTTTCTATAGTGGCTGTACTATTTTACACTCCCACCAACAGTGAATAATTATTTCCCACAACCTCACCAGCATTTGTTGTTTGCTGCCCTGTTGAACTTTGTTGTTGTTACTGGATGAGATGATATCTCATAGTTGTTTTTCACCTAAATTCTTGAAAAGAGGGAGAGGATCTTGAAAGCAGTGGAAGTCAATAAATTATTCTCTTCCACACATCTATAAGAAATACATTTTTCCCAAGAGTGCTGAGTCCATTCATTGGGTAAAGAAAAGTCTCGTCAGTGAATACTGTTGGGGGAAATTTATTTCCATACACATAAAAATGAAATAACATCGATATCTCAGAACATACATTAAATCAAATATAAAAATATATAAAGGACAAGGAACTCATGCAATATTATTCAAAATGG